AGTAGAATGAAGACCCGTGCTGTCTAACAGCATGTTCTGCCAAAAACAAACAAGCAGACTCACTGCCATAGAGGTGCTGCAGACTCACAGTGACCCTATAGGACAGGGTAGAACTTCCGGGGTTTCTAAGACCATAACTGTAAGGAAATAGAAAGCCTCGTCTTTCTCCTGCTGAACAGCTGGTGGTTTTGAACTGCCGACCTCACAGTTATCAGCCCAACTCATAAAGCACTACGCCATCAGAGCTCCTAATATCAAGTAGATAATTAATGTAACTTTATATAGATGTTCTCTAAGGCTTTATTTCTACCGTAAGGTGAGCCAAATTCTGCTGTAAGCCAAACTCTTGCTTGAAAAGTTCATCACTGTTCTAGAAAGACTCCAGACAATTGAGGCTACACCCCAGATGGGAGTCCTGTGAGGGGCCCCCAAAGCAACTTGGACAAATGCCAGCGTGTCCCCGGAAGCTCTCAGGAATCATCACGTGACAAAGATCCTAATACTCCGAGGTCCAGATTAATTGTTACTGCTAATCCAGGAAAAACTCTAAAACCACTATCTTAAACAAGACTTTGAATGTAATGGTACCATTGATTAGAGAACATTTTGATCAATGCATAGCTTTCAGCCAATATGGGGATTTTTGATTTAACTTTTTTAAATGACGGGGCACAAATGAAGTAAGTAAGTCCCGTGCAAGTTTAGAATTAGTTCTTCAAGATTAAAAAAAAGTTCAGATGTCAATAGCAGAAATGTATCCATCAAAAATAAATCATTAAATAGCTTGATTTCTACAAATGTTAAGTACTCTTCTGGAAATTTTGAAATGCATAAAAATGATCTACAAAGTGTGATACCAAATTTGTGTCTCGCTCAAAGAAATTTTACTATTTGTGACAGTGGTACTTATAAAAGGCATGTTAGTGAACTAAAGTCATTACAACTTATCTAAGACCTAAAAATGGCAAATTACTTGAATTCTTGCCATTTAGCACTTGAAAACAGTACAGCACAAATATTATTGCCAATCCAAATATGTGAAGACTTTGGAGCAAAACAATGTTTTTCACAAGTGCCTTTGGAGTTTCTAAATATGTAATCCCTTAAGCAATTATAATTATTTTTTTAATTAGTATGTTTTTTAACAAAAAATGTTGTCTATTTTATATGTACCAGTTATAATTAGGGGTGGGTCATCCATTATGTTTATTTTGTGTTCCATCATAATTGTAATAATAATGGAATTATGGGGGAAATGTAACTTTTATATTGTTAATGTATAATGTTTCTCTCTTACTTTGTCACTAAATATATGTTTATTACCTTTTCCTCAATTTATCACTTTCTCCTGATGCTATTATATCAAGCGGCACAGCTGATGTCCCTCAGCCAAGGACAAGGCTAGAAAATACCTCCAAGTCCTGGAGGTATGTCCCCATGTTGGTGGTGGTATTGCTACCTGCTGCTGGGTACACAAAGCACTTTATCTCGTTGTATCCTCACAGTGATCCAATGAGGTAAAAAGGAAAAACCCGTTGCCCTCTAGTCTAGTCAATAAAACTCCTATCGACTCTATAGGCAGGTTAGAACTGCCCCTGAGGATTTCTAAAGCTCTGATCTTTAAAAAACAACAACAACCAGTTTTCCACCTCTTTCTCTTACAGAACATGCTGATGGGTTTGAACCACCCACCTTTCCGTTACCAGCCCAGCTATGAACCACTGCCCCACCAGGACTCCAACCAGTGGCTTCACTAGAAGGCCATGGGGCTGTGGAACGAACTGGGTAATGCTGTCAGAGGGGTGACAACAAAAGGACTGTCTATAAAATTTCTTGTGCAGTGTTCCAGCAGAGATTTCTTATTTTTTTCTAAGTAAATCCCTGTAATTAGTTATAACAACAAAAGCATTTTTCTAAAGCCCAGCTGGTATATACCTGCAAGGCTAACACATTGTGCCAATTTGCTTTTTAAACCTTTTCATCGGCTCCTCCTAGCGCTGACAAATTACCATGAGGCTTTGCATTTTACACTCTACACACACACACACACACACACACACACACACTCCGATGGCTGCCAATGGGTTCAGG